CGCGGTCCTGACATCCCACAAATCCTAATCCACAGCTCAGCCCTTTGTGTCGTCAGAAAGAGCCTCCCCGAAACCGGCTGGCAATGGGGGCTGGCTCTGTGCCACAGAGGGTGAGTTTACCTACTGGGAGGCACAGGCAGGGGCAGAAAGGCCTCTGTGCCTCCACACCAGGCAGGGCGCACCAGCTGCTGCACTCAGGGATGCCTGGGCTGCTGGTCCCTCTGGGGAGGCCAGGATGCCTGGCTGTTTGCAAACCCCTCTGAGGAGGAGGCCCAGAAATCCAAGGTGTGGGGCCCACACCTCATGCCCGGGGCCAAACATGCTCCCAGGAGCCCTCCCTGACTTGCCTCGTGCTGAGACAAATGCAGGGCGCAAAGGCCTGGCAGGTCTTTTCTACAGTTCTCGCAAACTCACCTCATTGCCCTGTCCGGTCTGAGACGCCCGCCCTCAGCAAACATTCCTGTAATACCGACCCATGAGTCTGCCAGTCGGGTGTGGCACACAGCCCCCAGCGGCAGGGGCCCCCCAAAATGTGGCAGTGCAGCAGGGCTCGGGCAGGCAAGCTTAGGGTGGCCAGGTGGCCAGTTTTGAACTGGACAGGCCGGTATTTGAGCTTTGTGTTCAGGAAACAAATTGAGAAAATATCGGACCTAGTAATGTCTGCTATTTTCTAATTAAATAAGTTTAATTATCTTCATGAGTATCAGTACGTAGTTGCGTAGTGCCTGGCTGGTAGACACGCTCACACTGCATGAGCGTGTCCACCAGCCAGGCAGTACGCAACTACACAGTGGGGGGGAAGGGGGCTGGGGCGGGATAGTATCCCCCAGGGCTGGACTCACCCATGAGCCCCGCTGGGACCATGAGCGGGATGGGCAGCACCCCAAGATCTGCCTGTGCCCGGGCCAACTCCACTTCCCACCGGCTGGTTCCCCCCTCCTGGCCAGCTCTGCTCCCCCTGCTCCCCTCCTGGCCAGCCCTGCTCCCCAGCCACTAGTTCCCCCCCACCCTATTTTCTAACTAAGATGTAATGTAGATTGTGATGTGAGATCCAGTGTGTCTGGTATTTTTATGGAAACCATCTGGCAACCCTAGGTGAGCTGCCTGCATGCCACGGCGCAGGGTGCCACGCTGCTCCTGGAAGCAGCCAGCTGCGGGCTCATTTCTGCAAGCCCCTGATGTGAGGAGAGGTGGCTCCACATACACTGACCCTGCCCACACGTGGAGATTTGCTGTGCCCCTCCCTGCATGGGGTGCACAGAGATGTGCCTGCAGCAGGGCCAAGGCAGCTCTCAGTGCACTCTACCTCCCTCCCTCTGCATCACTCTGCTCCGGGAAGCAGCCAGCATGTCCCTGCAGCTCCTGGGGGTGTGTCTGTTTATTGCCCCGCCCCCAGCTCCCCGCAGCCAGTGGGAGGTGCAAGGGCAGCGGTGCAGAGACTGCCTGGACATCTCCAGACCTAGAAGCTGCTGCCAAAGGGGTATGCTGGTCAGTTTGGGAGCCATGCCACCTGCTGCCCCCTCCCCCAACCAAACTTCCTTCCAGAGCCCGACCTCCATCCCAACCAATGTTCCCTCTAATTTTTCCATCCATGTACAGAATAAATTTTGTTCTGTGCACCGAGGCCAGTGCGGATGTCCAGCACCGGTAGAAACATCTGCTGCCGGCTGTGGGCGCTCTGCTCATCCGCTGGGCAGCAGTAGACTCTCTCCTGGGTGGCTGCCCAAGCGCTCATCTCCCAGGGAACCCTGGCCCCAGCCCAGAGCCCAACCCCCGCCCTGATCAGGTACCTCCATTTATGTTCATTCACTTTCGGTCAGGAAGGGGAGTAACAGGAACTGCTGCTTGGCTGGGACCAGAGGGCCGGGAACCAGGCCGTGCACAGGGCCCCTCGGCATCACGCCTGTCACTCGCCGGCGGGGCGGGCCGGAGTCCCCTGCGCCTGGATGTTGGGGGAGGGAGGGAACCAGGCACCCAGTTTCCAGCCCAACCCCTAGGAGCCATGCTTAAGAAGGGGGCGGGGCTTACAAAAGGGCGGGGAGCATGCAAAGGGGCGGGGCCACGAAGGGGCCATGTGTAAGAAGGGGCGGTGCTTACTAGAAGGGCGGGGCGTGCTAAGGGGCGGGGTCATGGAGGGGGCGGGGCCAGAGTGTTGGGGTTTGCAGGGCTCGGGAATTAGAAACCCGCCTCCTCAGGGAGGGTCCCTGCTGCACCGTGATGTCACCAGTCCAGAGATGACATCACTTAGCGCCTCGTCTCGCTTGTGGTGACGTCACGCGGGCCGTGGCGTGGGCGGGACTGGCAGGAAGTTATCTCATGGCCGGTCTCCAAGGACCTTCCCAAGATGGCGTCATTTTCCCGCTTCCTCAGCCGCCTCAGACCGACCTTCTTAATATGGCCAGTTACATCCGTTCTTCCGGGGGAACGACCTTCCCGACATGGCGGCGCGCACTGTGCGCTCAGCACGTTGTTGACGTAATGACCGTCTGCTGACGCTCCTTGCGCCCTGGCTGGACGTTCGATCCTTCCTAACATGGCGGCAGGGCCGTGCCAAAGCCTCACTTCCGCCCGTGCGGGGAACCCCGGAGCGGATATAGCGGTTCTAGTTTCCGGTTTA